TTGCGGATGCAATACAAGCCTGTTTCCAAATGACCCTGACCTCTTGCATCCAAGTTTTCAGCCCGAGGATTGGGCTCTGAGGTCATCAATTCTTTCAGTCCTGGAATCCACCTTCAGCCACCCAGATGGCAGCATGGAACTGACTGACTTGTGAGCACATGACGGGCACGAGTCATGCGACAGTAAGGAACCCTGCCTCTCTTATACAGGGATCTTCTCTCTGCTCTGTGCGACCTCAGCTTCTGGTCCCTGCAATGGAAGACCGTCAATTCTATCACAACTCTGCCCGTCCAAAAAAAATGAGAGTATTGTCTGAGGAGGGGCTGTGGCTCAATGGGAAAGCATCTGCTTGGCGTGCAAAAGGTTCCAGGTTCAATTCCCCGGCATCTCCAGCGGAAAGGATCAGGGAAGTGTATGATGTGAAAGACCTCTGCCTGAGACCCTGGAGAGCCATTGCCAGTCTGAGTCGAGTAGACAGTCCTGACCTGACGGACTAAAGGTCTGATTCAGTATAAGGCAGTTTCAGGCCTTCAAATGAGTGGCTCTTCTGCCCACAGAATCATTGACTTAACAGAAAGTGATACTTGATATTAAAGGAAGAAGAGGCGATACCCCGCCCTTCACTACCCAAAGGAGTCTCAGAGTGCCTTACAATCTCATTTCCTTTCCCTTCCCCTCCCCACAACAGACACACTGAGAGATAGGTGGGGCTGAGGGAGCTCTTTCGAGGACCGCTCCCGAGAGAACAGCTCTGAGAGAACTTGTGACTGACCCAAGGTCACCAAGCTGGCTGCATGTGGAGGAGTGGGGAATCAAACCCGGTTCTCTCAGATTAGAGTCCAGGCTCCTAACCACTACACCAAACTGGAGAGAACCTTTATCTCAGACGCACTTAGATCTTTGGGTTTGGGCAACAATTAAACACGTTAACATGTGGGATCCTTCCAGCGGAGCTATGAGACAGCAGGGGAAACACCAAAAGAAGCTGCCTCAGAAGAAAAAAAACACCTTCGATTCACACTAGAGCTCATTTTGTCTACGAATTTTACATTAATGCACACGCTTGCAAATAAAGTCTGGCGCTGCTATCACTTTGTTTTGGATATACCCCTCAGTGTGTTACATTTCTCAGCTGTTTTGCTTCAGCTGCCTCGCATCATCGTCCGGGTCACAAATGGTGCCTCGAACACACTGTCTTCAAACCCAAGCAGGCGTCCGCTGTGGCATCTGTTCTCAAGCTGGTCATAGGTGAAGAAATCAAGAGGTGACGGTGCTCCTGAGCAGCTAGAGTGCACTCATGCATCCTCTGATTAACTGTCAATGGTCCCCGGCCTCTTTGAGCCCGCAGGCAACCTTTGGGATTTTGACACGGCGTGGTGGGCACTGCCACAAAATGGCTGCCCTGTGAGGCGGAGCCAGCCACAAAAATGGCCGCCGCAGCTTACCTTCAGACAGTGATCATCCTTGTGTGCCGGCAGCTGCTATCCAAGCAGCATTTTTAAAAACCCGCACAGCCAATTAAATCTCCAGCGGCCGGTCAGGAGCCTCGCTGGGCAAAGGCCCTACCTTGTCCCGTTCACTTTCTTAAAACGCTTGGCAGGCACCAGGAAACGTGTTGGCGACCCCTGAACTACAGCACCACCACCCCCAAATCAAGATGTACAGAGGTGGTTTCCAGAGCAGACCTTTTCCCAACTGATCGGACTCCCAAATTCTCCCTCCCCGAAATTATTTACAGAATACAAGGATACGACAGAGTGCAGTAGGTAATTATTGCTGATGTTCCATCTACCTCCCCCCCATGTGGCGGGCACCACGTTGGGGATCCCTGCAGCTCGACCACAGAGATCCAGCTTGCTTTGAAGGAACAGAGGCCTAACATCCAAATCGCAAGATGTCATAGTCCCGCTGTACACTGCATTGGTCAGGCCGCAGCGGGAGTCTTGTGTGCAGTTCTGGAGGCCTCACTTCAAAAAGGGTGTGGATAGAATGGCGCAGGTGCAGAGGAGAGTGACGAGGGTGATCGGGCGCCTGGAGACCAAGGCCCTAGGAGGAAAGGCTGAGGGATGTGGGAATGTTACGTCTGGAAAAGAAGAGGTGGGGGGGGGGACATGATTGCTCTCTTGAAGGCTGTCACTTAGAGGAGGGCAGGGAGCTGTTCATAAGAACATAAGAGACGCCAATGTTGGATCAGGCCAAAGGCCCATCCAGTCCAACACTCTGTATCACACAGTGGCCAGGAATACCAGTGCCATCGGGAGGTCCACCAGTGGGGCCAGGACATTAGAAGCCCTCCCGCTGTTGACCCCCCCCCCAAGCATCAAGAAGACAGAGCATCCCTTGCCCCAGAGTCCCTATCTATACCTTGTGGCTAAGAGCCACTGATGGACCTCCGCTCCGTATGTTTACCTAATTCCCCCTTGAAGCCGTCCATGCTTGTAGCTGCCACCACCTCCTGTGGCAGTGAATTCCACGTGTTAATCACTCTTTGGGTGAAGAAGGACCTCCTTTTATCTGTTCTAACCCGACCGCTCAGCAATTTCATGGAGTGCCCACCAGTTCTTGTATTGTGAGAAAGGGAGAAAAGTACCTCTTTCTCTACCTGCTCTTTCCCATGCATAATCTTATAAACAAACCTCAATCATGTCACCCCTCAGTCGTCGTTTCTCCAAGCTAAAGAGCCCTAAGCACCTTAAGCTTTCCTCATAGGGAAAGTGTTCCAAACCTTTTATCATTCGAGTTGCCCTTTTCTGCACTTTTTCCAAAGCTATAATATCCTTTTTAAGGTGTGGTGACCAGAATTGCACACAGTATTCCAAATGAGGTCGCACCATTGATTTATATAGGGGCATTATGATATTGGCTGATCTGTTTTCAATGTTTCCTCTTGGCAGCA